ACACCATCCTCACAGTCATTGTTATGCTTGAGCCCATTGTTGCAGCCACTGTGTCAGTCCATCTCATTGAGGGTCTTCCTCTTTTTTGCTAACCCTCTACTTTACCAATCATGATATCTTTCTCCAGGGACTGATCCCTCCTGATAACATGTCCAAAGTATGTTAGACATAGTCTCACCATCCTTGCTTCTAAGGAGCATTCTGGTTGTACTTCTTCCAACACAGATTTGTTTGTTCTTTCAGCAGTCCATGGTATATTCAATACTCTTCATCAACACCACAATTCAAAGGTGTTAGTTCTTCTTCGGTCTTCCTTATTCATCGTCTAGCTTTTGCATGCATATGAGGTGATTGAAAACACCATGGCTTGGGTCAGGCACACCTTAGTTTTCAAGGTGACATCTTTGCTTTTCAACACTTAAAAGAGGTCTCTTGCAGCAGATTTGCCCAGTACAATGAATCTTTTGACATATAGTGGTTATATAAAACACAGTTTTCTAGGCTGAGATACTTATTTTAGATCTAGTCATGAAATAAATTAAGCCCTGAAATTCAGATCTCCGACATGCTGATGATTCATATTTAGTTTTATGCAAATGACTATTGTCAATCTGATGTTCTATTAAATGTGCACCATAATGACATCATAATGACATCAGAATGTTGAGGAATAGTAAAACCATGTTAAGTACACAAAGGAAATATTAAGTAAAAATGGCATCACAGTTTACAGAGACAGAGAATACAAAATGCATCACTCTTGTACTTTCTATTCAAATGACTGTTGGTACTAAAGAAAAAAGGGTAGTGAACTCATTTAAGTTTCTTAGGTGGTATAAATTCTTTTAGCTGTATACGAGGCTAATTCTTTATGTGCACAAAGGGCATTTAAAGATCAGCCAGAAATTCATAACTGCATATTTACTTGTTTTTTGCATACAACTTAAGATATCTTTTTGCTTCTATGGTTTTAATTTTATTTTGACAACTTAGTTATGTTTTTGGTCACTAAACAAGACATATTATAATAAGAAACTTTGATTTAACAGAGCCGCAATAGAAGAGGCATATTCCAGGTCAATGACAAAACTAGCAAAGTCAGCAAGCAATTATTCACAACTTGGGTGAGTTAACATCTTCCTTTTTTTTAATGTTCATTTAGCAAAGTTCTTGAGAATATTACATTACCATTGAGGATATAGTAATTTATACTTTTAGTAATACATTATGTACTTATTTAAAATGTATCTCTATATCTGAATATGCTCTTGAAGTTTGAATGGGTAGAAAATATAATTAAATTTGCTGGATCAGTTAACGTAGTCAAAGTAAATGAAACTTTTTTTTTCCCTTTGTTAAACTACATGGTCCTTCAATAGTATAATTTTGAGATTACACATGCTGTGTGTTATGCATGTGCAAAGTAACTTATTGTAGTTTTTTGAAAGTTCATTTAAATTCTGTTGCAGTTTAACAGTAATCTTTAAATACTCCCCTTAAAGTTTAATAAATAAAATTGTATTGAAAATGATTAAAATACATTAAAAACATCTTATTTTATGGACTGTCATTAAATCTCAAAAATTTGCATTGGAGAAATTGTTCTTTGAAAAATGAAATTAATAATAATAATATATTTAAAATGAGATATGCTCATAGGCATAACAGCTATGGAAAGAATAATTGTATAATCTGAACATAACAGTTCTGGAAGGGATAATTGCATAATCTCGTTTAATAATCTATAAATTCGGGAAAGGTTATTTTTTAGCTAAGAAAGATGTTGAAATAAAGTTATTGTAAAAGATTTTTACTGTAGAGTTCAAGATTCCTCTCGATCTGGGATTGTGATGAATCTGTGAATCCCCTGAAATTCTATGTAAAATTTTGTATAGGTATTAATGCTTACTTTTATGGAAGAAGGTTTTTAACAGTTATCAGATTGACAATTGGTTCTATGATCCAAAAAATGGGTAAGAATGACTATTTTGTACAAAGTCTTCTATAGTGAGGTTGAATGAGTTTAAACAGAAGCGTTTATACTTTGTGATCTGGGCAAAGAGAAATTGGAATCTCAGTTCATCCTCAGGATAGTGACACTGTCCATTATGTAAGCGCTGACAGCCCACAGCTAGGAGGACCTTCTGCTGCCTTGTACTGTAACTGGAAATGCTCCAGAGCCACCACCTTTTTCACTTAGAGAAGAGAGGGGAATGGTAGTTGATAGTTGTTTTTGGTTTTTTTCCTCCCAGTTGTCCTCCAATTCCTTACCCCTTTGCCACCTTCCCTCAACCATAACTTTATTCTTCTTTTTCCATCTTCCTCTTAACTTTTCTGGCAGCTTCCTATTCTAGAGACCCATGTTTCTGACATGCCTTTCTAAAACATAATTTCTTCTTTATTGACCACAGTAGAAGTAAGTAGAGTAACAAAAGGCAGCTTTAACTAATTGGCCATGATTTTATTATAGAAAATTTTACCCTATTAGTTAGCCGGTGGGAGGTAGAGAAAGAACATGGATTGACTTCAGCTCTGTCTTCTAATAACAAAGTTACATTTTTGTCTTTGGAATGTGTGCTTTTCATAAATAACAGGTAGTATTTTACTTTTTGCGTTAGTGTCATCTCTTTTAAGATGATAAGGATTGTAAATGTTCTTGTTTACTGATTCATGTTTTAGCAAGAAACTGAGTTTTGTTTCTCTGTATTCAGTTGCATTTGAACGTTTTTTGTACTTGTCAGTTTTCTTTCTTAGTGCTTGTTTTACATGAATGTGTATTACTTGGCCAGAAAAAAGTTATGTAGACCAAACTTTTAAAAATTGCATGATATTTGAAATTCATTAAGGCAACTTACATTTAAAGAAATCTTACGTTGAACCCTTTTGCTGCGTTAAGAATCCTTTGATAAAGTAAGGGAACACTTATCTGCTTTGTAAAGTCTAGACTGTTATATATCAGGTTTACTTGAAGTAAAGTGTATATATTTTGGTGCTGTAGTGAGTGGATACTTCTCAGGTATCTTTTCCTTTTGAAATTTCCTATCCAAGTACTTAACAGATTTAGTGCTGATTAGATTTTTAAAGTGTGAGATGAGATCTAATCAAAACAATTCTGTTCTATGGATTTTAATTATCCACTTGGAACTTCTTTATTATTACATAAAACGATTGTTGCCAGTTAGCTTTCCTGCTGGGTAGGAAATGTGATAATTGGCATAAACTATACACAGTTGGCCTCCTGTATCCGCGTGTTCCACATGTGCAGATTCAACTGTGTGTTGAAAATGTTCACGGCAAAAAAAAAAACAGACTTTTTTATTCTGGTCGTTATTCCCTAAACGATACACTATAACCATTATTTACATAGCATTTACATTCTGTTAGGTATTATAAGTAATCTAGAGATGATTTAAAGTATATGGGACGATATGCTTAGGTTTTATGCAAATACTGCTTCATTTTATATAAGGGTCTTGAGAATCCTCCAATTTTGGTATTTGTGGGGCAGGAGAGGGGGCCCTGGAACCAAAACATCATGGATACCAAGGGACGACTGTACTAGAATAAGTAATTACTTTCTCTGCCCTCTTGTTTTAGTGATCATTGCTAAAATTTGTTTTCTATTATTTTATTGTAGAGACCACTTTAAAGCAGGTGGTGGTGAAAATATCAGAGGAAGTACCTGAACAAAGCATAGAATAAAATCATCCTTAGATTATTGACTGTTGAGCAAATTAGTTTAACGTAGCCGTTGGCATCCTGGGTACTATCTGTGATCTGATAATGCAATAATCCTTGGATATATTTGAGCCTGCTGAGTATTTAAAATCCTCAGTATTGAGAAAAAGGGGTAGGAAAGTATGTCATGTATCCTGTACCCTTTATTAAGAAGGGAAATAACTCTACTAGTGTATCACTGAGGTGTACAGATAGGTGAAGTTATGATGTCCAAGCAAAGGTTTCAGATAGCTACTCTAAAATAATTCCTAATACATTTATTAATGATGAAGACATTTTAAAAATCACATATATAAATTTTAGTTTTGTGTGTTTAAATTCAGAGAAACTTTTTGATAAACATTTTAAATGGAGTACTAAATAGTCTAACATTGAAAATTGATAATAGAGTTAAATTTTATCGCTAGATCAATCAACAGTGGTGGAAAGGCTTCTGATGCAAATCTAAGTAACCAGATCAACTCAGAGAGTAATACGATGCAGTTGAATAAGAGCCATGGACAAACCTGTGATAGTGTACCCATTTCTGTGTATCTGAGGTCCAAAAATATTTCAAATAATTATTAGCCAAGGATCGAGAAATCAAAGTCAGTCTGTCAAATCAATCCTTTCGTTCATGATTTATTTTAGATTCATTTTTTGCCTAATTAAAATTGCTGAATATATCATTATTGTTTCCATTGGCTCCGTCTTGGAGCCTGAAGCTTATTTTAATAAATTATTCACCTACATATTTCTTTCCTCTAGAACATTTGCAGCAATGTGGGATGTGTTCAAAACATCTACAGAGAAGTTAGCAAATTGTCACCTGGATCTTGTTAGAAAATTACAAGAGTTAATAAAGGAAATTCAGAAGTATGGAGAAGAACAAGTAAAGTCTCATAAAAAGGTATCAATTTTTTCTTGCTAAAGTATTGATTGATCACATATTGAGTGCTGTAGAGTACAGTCATTTTGATTAATCATTTTATACCAAACAGACTAAAGAAGAAGTTGCAGGAACTCTGGAAGCTGTCCAAACTATTCAGAGCATAACTCAGGCTCTCCAGAAATCCAAGGAAAATTATAATGCCAAGTGCGTAGAACAGGAGCGTTTGAAAAAGGAGGGAGCTACGCAAAGAGAAGTCGAAAAGGTAATCATAATAAAAATAACAACTCTGGTTTCAGAGCACTTTCACATACAAGACTGCATTTACTCTTCAAACTCTCAAGAATGATCTCATTTTAAAGATGAAGACATTGTGCCTCAGAATTATTGATTTACCTAAGTAACACAGAAATAGGTTTGTAAAATGTATTGTGTATAGTAAATAGATTAGCAAACACATATACACGAACAATTTCTCTATGTGGTTGATACATTTACAGAATATTTTTTTATTAAGATAATTGTTGAGCTACTGCTTGGTGTAAGATTTAACAGTGAGGTGAACATTTTTTTATAGCAGGTTCTTGCTATAAGGGAAAGATATAGGCACCCCAGAACTAAAACAATTTCCCAGGCCAGCTCTTCAGACAGGGATTGGATTGGACTGTGGGACATAAAGTGATACTCATGAAGAATGTGCCTCTTAAACAAGTAGATATAAGAGACCAAAGGGATGGCTTCTGTCCAGCGGTAGAGGGGAAGGCAGAGAGAGT